AGTCATTTTGAGAAGCTGACAGTCGCCCAGGTGGTGAAATTCTGCTCGTTTTATGAAACTGGAAGGTTCTTTACCTTGTTCGCTACACCTGTGCTTACCCTGAGACTAATGAAGCCATCCCACACTCTCGAAACCTATTGCTTAAAGAACAACTTTAATATTATCATCATGTGTACGTCAAGGTTCTCCACGGGGTATCCAACTTTCAGGTTTTCCCGCTAAACCGATGCATCTATCACCCGCGTCCTCTTGCGTGCTACATGAATTCGCAAAACTCAGCCAGGGCTGCTGAGACTCAATGCAAGGTGCAAACTGACGTAAAGGGCCGTAGCCAATGAACTCCGACTGACGGAAGGCAATGAATTTGGTATTTTTGGAATGTGTCCGTGGCCTGACAAGACACGAACCGAAGCTTCGTCACGGAATTACTTCAAAATTTGTCTCTGTCGTAACGTTCCCTTGCGGTTTGGTAGTTCCCGGAATGCGAAACGTCGCTGGCTTGCGGTTAGCGTGAGGACGCAAGGAGGTATTCGTGTTACAAGCACGCACTCCGCGCACTTCGACTGTCACCGCGACAATTTGCGGCCTTGCTGAGGCTTAAACGTTTACAAACAATCTAACAATATAATCTACATCTTGAAGATAAGATCACATATTCACACATTACTTAAGTACGTAAAAAATAACACGCATTGCTGAGGCTTAAACGTTTACAAACAATCTAACAATATAATCTACATCTTGAAGATAAGATCACATATTCACACATTACTTAAGTACGTAAAAAATAACACGCAACTTTTATTTTAGAACCAGCGATAGTACTGGAAAGAAGATACGTCCTTTTCGTGTTCACTGTTTCAAGCGACGTTTTAGGTAATCATTTCGGGAAACCGATGCCTCAGTCACATTACGTCCTCCGATTTAACACTAACTTCCTACCCCGTGAGATGGCTGTATTCTGTGTTGTAGCAACGTGTAGTCTGGTAGAAGTTTACCAAAGTTTCGGAGGTCCTTACTGCCTCCATCATCAGGGCGATGAGTCGTCGTCCTGATGATGGATAATCTAATAGGGGGCATGGTTAATGCTGCAAATTTACGTAAATTCCAGCCGGTTTATTTAAAATCTGACTTACAAACTGCTTATTTTTACACACTTCTCACAGGAATTTCAGCTGACAGCACCTATTGCTGATGGAGAAACATAAATAACAGTAACCAAGCTCAAACCCCGACCTTGAATTCGGGGAAGTGGATCGGGCGCCTTGGGACACACAGTAATTACTCCGTCATCTGTGCTATTTTTGCGGATAATCTCGGTTACACGATTGTTTGAACATGCAGTAAAATCAAATAATATTCGTTGTGTAACGCGGCATCGGCTTACAATTCGTCGGGAATATTTGCACGTCGGGCAACGGACAAGTGAGATTAATGGTGAGACATCGTCCAGACGCTAACCAGCGTCTGTCGCTTCATTTACATACGGCAGAAAACGGGGTTTTGTTTTAATACGTGCAGACGCGCTCGCAAGGCGCCATTGTGAACCCATTTGAAATGGGAACTACGCCTCATTAAATGATAATCATGACCTTGAACAAAAATCATCATCATCATAACTAAAATGCTAATTAGGCGAGCTGATCAAGAAATTTCGTACTTTTATACAACTCAAAATTTAATTACCGTGTTATCAACAGTGCAGCACTGAACCAGATAAATCCAGTTGAGACACACACACACACCCTGTTTCAGATTAACTTTACTATCTTCGAGTTTACAACTTGGTCTCCGAAATGTCTTCTCCGAACTAAGATTGAAACACGAATTTCACCATCCACGATGAAGGTGTTCATGTTTTTGTTTTGGACTGTAACTCCGTGTGAACTTGTCAACAGATGCCAACGTTTCGGGGGGGACACACTGCCTCAATCTTCACGGCTGAAGGGCTTTCTTCAATGTGATACGCACGAGAGAACTAACAAACTCTCAGTAAACTTGCTACTGTCATCGATTTTAATCGCTGACCAATGACGAAAACCATACAGCGGTGTAACTGAGGAAACTCTTTTATTTCTTGGAGTTACGAGAAGCGGGTACCGACCGTATTAAATGCAATAATTAAAACGAAAGGTCTCAAGTAGGTCTTTAAGAGCGAAGCAGGCTTTTCTCCAGGGCGAAGATTGTAATGACGTGTCCCTACAATCCAATTGGAGCAAAATTGTTGACGCTAAAGGTAGGCAGCCTGCAACACTAAAAGAAACATCTGAAAAATGCGTACCGCAACAAAATTCCGCATGCTTAGCCCAGTCTTAATTAATTGCGCAATTGAGGTCAGTGCGATAAGAAATGGGGCCCCGGGGTGATAGCCATCCGGTGAAATGAAAATTATAGAATAAAAAAAGAGTTGTCTCTTAGCTGGTCTTGAATATTCATTGACAGGAACAACAACTTCTTCTTCTTCTTCTATTACGGCTTGCTTAAGCGAAAGTAATCGAGAAACATGGAGACAGATCTTTCTCGTAAAGAAAACCTGTCCTCAAGGAATGTGAAAGTATCGAAGTAAATTTTACTTTTCAAAATAATGTATTCATCTCATCATAGGCAACAATCGAAAGATTTTCGAATTATGCTCTACTGAGTTAAAAACTTCATAACAAAACTCAAAAAAACATTTTCAGAGGCTATTTAAGAAGGCATTGACAGCAATCGAGAAAGAAATACATGAAAAGTTTAACGAAAAAGAACATTTCTGATATTCCTGAGTTGTAAACAAAGTGCTATCTGTCTGCGTCCCGCTGCTTAGTTTCAACAGCGTATTTTATAGTCGCACAATTTAATTCGAATTTGTTCTGTTATGCTTCATCAACTTTTGAAATTACGTTCAAAACAATTTCAAGATTTGAAAACCGGACATCCCCTCGACAGACTGAAGCTTCAACGGGATCTTGGCCACAATTCGAACTGGGCGTCTCTCAGGGTCATTACCGCTGTGCTAATCAGTTCGGTGTGCGTGAAGAATTACGTTCATGAATCCAAACCAATTATAATATTATCCATGACAGTTTTAATTGTGTCTCGAGTTGCAAACTAAAACTGTTTCTCGAGCCTATATTTTTTAACCACCGTGTGGTTGCAAAAACCAGCATTTTTCGTGACGATGGTTGTTAACATGGGAACCGTGCATCTGATATTTCCTTGCTTCAATTAAGGACCCATGTGAGGCGCAGAGAACACAGAGCAGTCTTTCTGTCTTAAGGCTGGAGCCCTTTCGCTTCGTGACGTTTCCAGGTACGGGACAGATTTGTAAGTTACTGCAGAAACGTCGCGTGTACGCACTTTCACTAAAGATAACCTCGCCCTCCGAGACATTAGACAGTGCACTCACCCCACGTGAAAGTGAAAAGAGAAAGTAATTACGATCACATTTAATGTAATGTGGGTTCAAGATGATTTTCTGTAAATTTCACATAAGCAAATAATTGGCATGTAACGAAGTGTTCGTGGGTTAAGTACCGTATTTGCTCGATACTAACGTCAACGTAACTTTACCTGAGTATACACGATATGTTTAAAATCGAAGGCCGTCTGTTTATAGACGGGCTAAATTCGGAGCAGCTTTTAGAAACTTAGAAAACGCATTAAGACGTTTTATGACTTCCAAGCAGAAGTCATAGGACCCTCTTTCCCAGTGCACTGATACCCTGAGCTACAAATAGCTTCTTCTTAATTTTATGTTTGGGCAATTTCAGTTTATAATCCAATAATCCAGCCGATGGCTTAGCGGACTGGACTTGTGAGCAGATGCGAAACTTTTAGACTTGTAACATACAGAACATTATTATCGTAAACAAGCGAAAAACTTTCCCCCCCGAGATCAAGGAAAAAAAAAAAAAGGTTTAATGTGTAACGGGACACATATTCCGTCTGCAGTCTACGTCATCATGCTTCGGCGAGAGACAAAATGTGTTTTTAATTAATCACGCAATCTTCTCGTGAGGCATTCAATTAAGATTTACAGTCATGGAACAGTGCTTCATGTTTTTACATTTCATGTTAAATGTCTTTCATTAAAACTACGTCATCACCAAGTAGAATTACCGAATGATAAACCACGCAGAGTCACTCAGCCTGTTTCACGTTTCAGATGCGGAGGTTCATAATGCTTTAATTTAATCTGTTCAAATACTTGCTGTTCACCCATCGCAAACTTTTATCCCACTAAGAACAACGCACGCGGGCGTACGTTCGTGCCACCACCGAGATCTGAACCCGTGATGTTAGATACAAAAATCGGAAGGCGTCCCATAATTATGATGACGTCAGCTGATTTTACGGATGTGAAATCCACCGGACAAGATGTCGTCATGTTTTGCAAGTATTAATTCATATTCATGGATATTCTGAGGTAAGCGATATGGCAGGCAATCATGTAACTATGAAATTAATATATCTCAGCATTTCTATGGAACTATAACACACACATTACTAAGTCCATCCCACAAACAAACATAATTAAAATCAGCCATAATCATTCTTTTGTTGTACGATAACAAACAACAAATAAGTAATGGAGACGGCAGGAACGCGTTTCGTCAGAGCGGTCACAGGGCCCAGAATGGCGGATCGTAAACAAAACGAATAGATCACAGAAGAACTGGAAATATCGGCATTGCCCTATAAGTACAAACCGAAGGGCAGACGATGCCAGAGACCTGAGAGATAAAGACGGACGGAGCAGTTTTAATCGTCGTAATAGGAACATGACAAGAGCTTAGTTTGTGAAGATCACAAGAATTACAGCTTCTCGCTCTGGCCTCCTTATCCCTTTGCGACGATACTCACTAGATAAAACATGTCAGATTTTGTGCTGACTGTGCCGAACTTTTGTCATTTTAACGTCCGGTGTTTTACCTGGAGGCTCGGGTAAACGCACAGAAAACCAGAATCCTCCATTAGCCGAGCGCTTCTGCAATTAGGTACAGTATAAATATTTTCAGGAAGCCATCTGTCGAGGGGCAAGGAGTGAGCGCCGGTAATCAGCGGATCGGTACTGTTCGGGTACCCTGCTCTGTTCCTCGCCTTCTGCTTCGCAGTTTGCAGTGCGCCGAGAACATCGGCCGGCAACGGGCGGACAGTAACTGAGGTAAGCGACTTCGAGATTCACAGCACCAGGTGGGACGCGAATCAACAAGCAGGTTACGAGCTCCGAACGACGAGAAGTTTCACATCTGTGAATTCGTAACGCGGTCAGGATTTTGTTAACATAAACTTTTGCAAACCACTTATCCGTTTTTGGTCGAAAATTTATATAAAAAAGAAACAAATATTTATCTTTTTTCGCCAAGTGAATTACCAGCGTGAAAAATACTCTTTACGATTCGGTACTTCGATTTCAGATCGGTGATGTTAATTTCCTAAAACAACCTTTTTTTCTGGTGTAACTGATTATACATACGGCACCATTTTGAATTCAGTAGAAAATTTAATGGTAATATGTTATGAAATATTTTGTTGTTGTCTTCAGTTGTATTTTCATTTTACAATGAACAGCTAAAGCCTCTTAACTGATCAAAATTTAAAACACGAAGCCACTTAACAAAGTAACTTTCTCTGCAGAACAGTTTACAATCGAACGTCGCGGTCGGGTGGTTAGCATTCGATGATCCTGATTCAAATTTCTGCCTAAGACCAGTTATCACGAGGTCTTTCGTGATCTTCCACACAAACGGTAGGGCAGTAACTTAAATCAGGCAACGACCGCTTCCTTCAACATCCTTTCTAATTTATTATTCATTAACCACCTTATCATTTGGCGTGACATATCCTGAACTATAGACAGCGTCTTTAAACAAACCCCAAATAAATATAACAGAACTGGAAATACCGGGCCCCCTGTTCATTTGAAACACGAAATCATTCATAACTTCTCAAAATTAATTATAGTTCTGATACTCTTACAATGCAGCTTAATTAAACTGAACAGAACAAAACACGGTCTGTACCGGCTGTTTGGTGTCACGGTGAAATGTTAACAGAGAAGGGACAATGACTTAACATATTATTACTCAGATAATTATATTTCTTTATGTCAAAGAAACCTATACCATCAGACTGAGAGCAAAACAGTTTCCAGCGTTCTGGCTGAGAATTAGGGATCTTTACGATACCGTAATCATTTTAAATGATACAATTCGCGTTAAGGGGAGGTGCTTTGCTTCACGGAGTCAATAACAAAACTCCTGTAACACTAATGGATCCTGTCCTGCGCCAATTTCAATGCATTCCACACCAATTTCCTTTAATATCTATTATATTACCTTTCCATCCGTCTTGATTTCCCAGTGGTCCCGTTGACTAAACTTTTATATGCATTTTAATCATCCCATGCGTGCTACATGTCCCGCACATCATCCTCACCCTAATAATGTTTGAAGAGAGACAGAAATATTATGAAGCTCAATATTATTTAATTTGGAATATCTTTAGGCTGTTCATATTCGTGGAATTCATGTCAGGTTCTTATAAACATCGAAACGAGGAGAGTAGCCTCTTTTCATGACCTCTGACAGTTGCATGAAACTCATCAAGGGTAATTAGAAGACGGGGCAAACAGCTGTGGGATGCGGGCAAAAGTGTTACTGCTCTAATTAGTAATTCAGCGGCGTATGAATCTAAACAAGTGATCTAACATTGTGTAAATTGTAGTCAGAACCAAATTTTGAGTGGCCGGAGTTCTATCAAGTTCTGTGTACTGCTCAGATTTATAATGGGCTTGGGGGAATTTTAATGAACTGAACGAAACTTACATTTTTCTCGCTTATGGTTAAAGTTTAAGAGTACTGTGGATTGATGCAGAGATTCCTCACCTTGAGGCAATTACTGACATGGGACTGTGCACTTCACAGAGGAGCCCCGATGGACTACAAGTGCTGCTAAGCAGACAAACTGAGACACGATGACGGGTTCACTGGCTTACAACGCCGGATATCTGACATGATTGCGAGAGAGCAGCTATTATACTTGGTCACACTGCTTGCATGGTAAGTTGAAATTTTATGGCTTCAGTTGGTAGTGATCAGTTACACTGATGTTGTATGATTACAGACAACCCACTATTTAAAATTAGAAAAAAAAAATAGCATATTCTGCCACACTGGTCAGCTGTACGAAGAAAACGTCGACCGCGCATGGAGACGATGAGGAGAGAACACGAAATTTGTGTCACGTGGTCACATAATAAAACATCTCAAAAGAAAGAGAACAAGAGACCGCTGGGTGCATTTAAGTGGTTTTATACTGGTTAGTATACCAGTGTAACAACTTTCATTCACTTGACAAAACGATCCAACTATAGCACAATAATCTATTCTATGAAAATGTAGGATTTATGCAAATAAAACAGATTATTGTTTGTGGGCAATGTTAATGGACTTATGGATGATATAAAAGGCAGAAACTTTCTTGGTCATCTTCAATAGTCAAATTCTTGCACAAATATACCAGAATAATTAGCCTATATATAGATTTCTCAACTTGTTTATTGTAACCGAAACACAGTGCTTGTTTATAATATTACAACAAATACTGACGCTGAAGACAGTCGAAATTTCTACTATTACCACCCCTGAGGTTTCATGTCACAGCGCAAATATGTACTAGTATAATTTACGTTCCAAATTGCATAATTATTACTTCCTGGGTCCCAGCAGACCCACCGCACACAATGAAACCTCGGAAATTCTTTCAAGAACGTGTTTTATATTTAGCATATAAATTGCATAAACAGTTAGAAATTAACTTGCAAATGTCATACCTGTACATTGAGATGACGATGTTCGGATGGCATGCAGTCCCGACTGTTGAGATAAACGGTGCGTGTTTTTGAGAACTGCTATGGCGAGTTGCCAGGTCAAACCAACACGATTTCATTACCTGCAAATTTTTCATTAGGAGTTAGTCATTCTTTAACAAATACTGCCCATTATACCCTAGCTCAATTATTTGCAGATTCCAAAAATATAATTAGCCTATTTTGACTCTTCACTGTTTGTTTTAATATTCTTAAAATGTCTTGTGCTGGTTCCAAATTCTTACTTGATTGTACCACGCGTGTCCTTCGTCAGTCCTTAAATTCCATGCCTTATACATCAGGATATTTGTCGAACTTGATTGTACCACGCGTGTCCTTCGTTAGTCCTTAAATTCCATGCCTCATACATCAGGATATTTGTCGCTGTTTTTCCTTTGTTTGGAACATCACTTTGAATCCTGTTTCAGAATTTCGCTTCATGTATCAGACTGACTCACTGGTGTCTTATTTTCAGCTTATTATGTTCCACCTGCAAAAAGAATTACACCATCAAGCCACGGGTGGTCCTGCCAGAAAATTATGTCAAAGGTAAGATTGGTAAGTTCCTGTGCATGAGACAGTGTGTGGAGTGCGTTAAAGTGTCCATATTTTATTTGCACCTGGTTTCAGCACTGAAGTCCAGCAGGTACGTAAAAGTCGGTAATCAGATCTCCACTTTGACGCTGCACAATCATAATATAAAATATGCAAAAATCACCTGGAGTCCAGTTGAACAGATATCACCACTAAAATGAAACACTGCTGATTTCAGAGATTCGTCCTCCTTCACCGAAGGGACAACCAGTCACAGTGGACTTCAGCATTTACATAGTCGACATCAACTCTATAAATGTAGAGGACATGGATTTCCGGTAAGTGCGTAAGAAAGTGTGGGCCTGGACTCCTGATGGCACACCTTTCCCATCTCACGTTCAAACATTAAAAAATTAAATGTAAATAGTTCATTATTGTATTTATATAACTCATAATCCACATTAATAAATGAAAATGGATGTCTGAAATTTACCGTTGTAATGCCACTAACTTGGTGAAAAGCCTGCAAATATTTCTGTAGTCTGTTTCATGCAAGACAAAATTGTCTTCTGCGTTATATTTGGCACTCATACCAACTGTCTGCCACTTCTAATGTTGCCCAAGTGGACTTAAATGTTACGTTTCATTCTGTAAGTTTTCTTAAGTCTGGTGATTTTAATTTATTGCGCAAAACTTCATTGGCAAATTCACCAGATGATTATTTTTTTTCAAAACAATACCACAATTTAAAAAAAATGGTAATACTTCCCATGATTATCAGCCTTTTAGCTGCTCGCAGTATAATCTTAAGAAGCTATTGCAGCTTTAGTCAGAATTAATGGTTTTAATATTGTGATATTGGAGTTTACTGTGATGGTTCAGATAATCCTGGCTTGGTTCTCAGAATTATAATTAATCATGTACCATAAGCGAACAGCGGATTTTAGCCGTGTACTGAAGGACTGAATCCTGGGCTTCAGTTTAGCGGTAGGCCACTGCGATTCACAGAGTATAAGCAATGACCTACAGATGATAAACGTAAAAATCTGCTTTTACTGGTGTAACATACTGAAATGAAATGTTTTGCCGATGCATCATACCAATTAAGGTTCTCTCTAAATTATTATAAAATTTTACTACTCTGCACACAGAAATGCAGGTAGGTTATTATAAAATGTTGTCAGAAGTAAACAGTTGTTGAATAATGAATTCTTCTCGGGCTACCAGCCGTGTGAGGTGACTTAATGAACATAACCATTCTCGTCCTCAGGGTAGGTGTCACACCGCTGGTAGCCCGAGAATAATTTATCATACTTAGTCGCTGTGAAAGCTTCAGATTATACATGAATACTTTTTGGCTTAAACTCCATTCGTACGTACTACGACTCTCTTGTTCCGGAACTGAAACCGAAAATTATGTGAAAAAGAAGACTAATTTTCTTTTGACTTCTGTAACTTTAACTGGGGCAGAAATAATCACATGCATTCCTCTTTATACTTTGACTCTCTACGCTTATCTAACATTTACATTGCATTCTGTTCTATTGCAATTACAGTACTTGAGAAATATACTAATGTATTTTATTGTCTTTTGGGAACGGTTGGTGATGGTGCAATTGTGGTGGTGGCAACAGTGTGGATATGTTTGTAAGGCAGCGGTGGACTGAATCCCGTCTTCACATGCCTGATGACATCTTTGAAGACGGCGATGATTATGTAACATTGCCGCCAGAATTTTTTGATAATCTGTGGCAACCAGATCCATACATTCTGAACTCAAAAGTCTCAGGTATAAAAAAGTTTTTAAGTTTTAAAACACAAAGCGAGGAGAGCGAACACAGAGATTTGAGAGACATGGTCCAATAACGATGTTCGGATTATAAGCTTACAAAGGAGCTTCATTTCAGCGACATACAACCAATGTTAAAGGATCTAAAAGTATCAATATGTGGATTAATGATAAATTTGACTAACATTCACAACAGTTCTGTGGACCATCGAAGCAGCGAGTGTTTTGCAGAAAACCTTAGAAATTAATGTGTGCAGTTTTTACCATCTCTTATAATCTTAGTCCAATAAAAAGTGATTAAGAGTTCCAAATTTTGGTGTTTCGACTGATTTTTATTCTGAAAGTCACAGTTTAACAGTTCATATTAACCTCAATTTATGCAGAAATATAATTTTATGAGAATTGGTAGAAAATTTAGAATCTGTTAATGGGATAACATTAACAAACTTACAATATGACACTTTTAACATTTTCTTTTGATGCATCTCCAATGTAATTAAGCACAGACATACAAATGGTAAGCTGATATGAGTGGTAAGTGCACGCGCGAACAGAGATGACTCCACGTCACTGTTTCTGGTTCTGTAGTCTTCTGGAGTCTTTCGGCTGCTTCGCCCACATAGTAAATGACTTCTATAATTGGAAAACACTGTTTTCAGGGACCTACAGACATATATTTCATGAAGCCAGATTTCCACTGACAAATGCATTTCAAAGTTCTTCAACTTCACTGTTTTAATGGCGATGCTTAGTTTCCCACAGTCTGAAGAAATCTTTTTCAAATCCACGAACATTCCGTCACTAAAGGAATGATTTTTTTCAGAGATCGCTAAGCTGACACACAAGTTCTCGAGTGTGACGCTGTACCGCAACAAGACCGTGCGCTATGCAGCCCGCATGCACGCCATTCTAGCCTGCCAGATGGAGTTCCAGCTGTACCCCATGGACGTCCAAAGCTGCCCCATGTTCATTGAGAGCTGTGAGTACAGCAGACATCAGTAATTTAATGACAACTGTAATGACTGGTCAGAAAATTTAAAGAGTAATGCCACAACACAGACCTACAGACTTCTGCGTACGCTATACCAAAAAAGCTGATCCAGAAGAGGAAATCATTCAATCTGGCTCACGGGAATTTATAAAGTATGAAAACAATTAGGTTAAACATAAGGTTTGAGTTCTCACATTGGTGAAGATATAAAAGCTGTTCTTTCAAATTGTGATAATATTCCCTGATGATGGAGACAACACGTTCCTACCTCGATCTAAGAGTCCATTCAGCATCACAGCCCAGAAGAACAATGAGAGGTTTATCTCGCTTCATAACTTATGAGTAACATACTTTGGGGTCATTATTTGAAATGTAATGATCTACCACATTTGTGGAAATTCATGGTCCTCAGTGCGAGTGACACGTGAGGGTAAGGAATGGAATGAACTGGCACATAGTAAGGCTCATTTGTGGGCTTTTGTGAACACGGTAATGAACCCATAAAAGGCAGGAAATTTCTTTTCAAGCCGAGTAACAATATTCTCTGATCTTGAGAAACCTTGTACGTAAAATAATCACTGGGAGAAATTATGGACTATAATGCCGTGTAGTCTGGTAGAAATTGACATGGCATTACAACCCAGAAGACAGCCATTTCTGTACTCGCCGCCATGAAGACCTCAAATCCTACTGGGAGGAATAATCTGGCACTTAGAGAAAATATCTATGATATTATTTTTCAGTCTCATACAACAACCAGAAACTGAGGTTGCGATGGGCAGCGGATGGCGTGAAGCTTAACCCAGAACTCAAACTCCTTCAATACAATGTTGGCCAGCCACTGGAACTCAGGGAAACAACAGGGTATATGGTGGAGAGGGAAGGTACGACACGTGTTTATGGATACGAACATTTAAACTTATCTTTTTTGTTAGTATTTAATGTTCAGTAAACGAGTATCACTTGCATTCTTCAGAATCTCCTCTTTGCTGAATATTATAAAATGTAAAACTAATATTATTCATCTTCCATCTCCTAAGTATTTGTGTAAAAGTTTGAGGTTATGTCTGACAAATTTAATGAAGACAGAATCTGCACCAGTGGGAATTATGAATGGAAATGGATCACCAGATTATGTGGTTGTCCTCTCACAGTTCTTGCTGATGTCAGCACAACACCTTAAAAAGCGCAGGTGTCTTACATTCTTCTTACTTCTTTCATGACGACAATGTGTAAATTTAATCAAATCACATATTTTCTTTAATCATTAAAATACTTCTGCACAATTTTACACCATTCTTGCACAAACTAGTTCTCCTTCAATATATGAAGCTTTGAAGTTTCAGTCACCTTATCAAGAGCTTGAGGATTGTCACACGACTGAAACTTAATCACCACTAGCACTTGGATTGCTCTGTGTTTTTCAGCAAACTTCTCGCGCTTGGTCATGTACTTCCGATTTGAACGTCAGATTGGGCACCACCTGATCCAGACCTTTGCTCCCAGTACACTTGTGGTAATGCTGTCTTGGTTCAGTTTCTGGATTGGTCTCGATGCAATTCCAGGTCGTGTCACTCTGCTCGTCACGTCTATGCTAACGCTTGTAACCATGTTCACAGGCCTCAAGTCGGACATCCCGCCTGTAGCATACGTGAAGGTAAGAGCTGGGTTCCATAAAAGGCAGGAGAAACGATGGGGGAACTACAGTTCCTTCAGAATCTTAAAACTGGCTCAAAAACAATCAAACTGTAACTTCCTAATTTATATCCTTTACATTTCCTCTAAAATTTCTGTATCTGGATAATGTTTTCATTAGTGACGACTGCATACGAGGTAAATTTTTTATAAAATTCCACGACATTTGCACAACAGAAAAGAACAAGGAGTCTAAATGATAAGATACATGTTTGAATTGAATTCACTGACAATTTTGTGTAAATGGGTGTGCATCGAAGTATGAGAAATGATGATAAATGCACGACAGTGCTCGTTTCCTTGTTTGTTTGTGTGGCAGGCCCTGGATCTGTGGATGGCTGGATGCATGGTGTTTGTGTTTGCTGCTCTTGGGGAATTTGCAGTAGTTAAGGTTCTGGATGTCCGCTATCAGTCGCAGAAGAATGAACGAGTAACCTCTGTTCCTAGGATTCTACCAATGGTAAATTCCATATCACAATTTTCATCAACAAATAGTTTAAAACCTTCCTTTAATTGACATAATACAAGACTATGAGATTCAAACAGAATTTTTCCTTTAATTGACATAATACAAGACTACGAGATTCAAACAAAATTGAAACGAGAAAGATTTAGCTGTTATGTTTACGAAAATTCAAGAGTTTTAGAACAAATGTTTGAAGAAAAAAAAGACTGATGAAGAGCCCAACCACATTTAGAAGGTTTATGAAAAGCAATTCGTAGTTTTCCACATCATTATCAGAAACTGTTACCCACACAATTCGTAGTTTTCCACATCATTATCAAAAACTGTTACCCACGTTTACAAGCCATTAGTTGTGAACTTCAATAAGCGCCTGGCCTCAGTGCCAACCTAGAAATATATCAGATTCAGCCCAAAATTGGTCTTGCGGTCAACAGACATTTTACTAAGCTGACAGAGATTAAAGCTTGGGAATTCCCCATTGGATTCATGTCAGAAGAGACACATTTATGTTATTTATGCTCAATTCTCCCCATGCTCAACTCAGTACAAATAGTTTGCATGCTAAATAAACTCAGTAGTATAGTAAAGAACGCCTGATTAATAAGTGAATGAATTCCGTACTTTACAAAAATTCACCACGAATTAATAATGTGATAATGTAGACTGCAAGTTACTTTACATGCTATGATAATTAAGCTTTTATATTACTCAGTCAGTTACTATGGTTAACAGCTTAATTCTAAGACAAACTTCTTCAGTACGAAATCTCAGTTCTTTTAATATCTGAGCCCTAAATTCCTCTCCCCTTCTAAGAGTTCCCATTCAATGATGTCATTAATATTTCACCTTTAATTTAATCATCGAGTCATCATCAATGATACCATAAATTAAAGGAATCTTTGCAGAACAAACCAACAAATTATTTCCTTGACAAACGTCATTTATCTTGTGTTGAAGTTAATTGTTTTGCGTGTGACAGCGAATTCAAGCCGTAGACAAGAAGACCCGATGTGTTACGGCGTGGGACGTCGAGGCGCCGGGAATCCGCTGCAGGAAGCATAGTCTTGGCCTCAGGAATCGACGGTTCCTCCAGCTCTCATGGCTTGACCACAGAACTGGCGAAGAAAAGATACTTTGGAAAGAAATTGATCGCCAGTCTCGCATCTACTTTCCAACATTTTTTCTTTTGTTTGTTGTATTTTATTGGCCTATTTTGCTATTAAAAAAAATAGGTTGACGGCGGTGAAAATTAAGTGAATACACAACTAAAAAGTACTTGATATATTTTGAAATGTAATAAATTTTTTCAAAGATTAGATGGACGCTTTCCAGACAGTCTGGAGGTGTACCATCATTGCAGCACGACTGGTTCGTTTATTGTAAGAGAGGAAACACGAACGCAGATGTCATTTTTAAATATGGGGCTATAATAGTCTGTACTATTTCATAAAACTGTGCGCAGTTCTATATAAATAAGTTTTAGGATTGGTATTACATTATTAGAAGCTTTGCTAGTTTTATATTATGTGTATTCTTCGTCGAGCGCTTTAATGTTTTCGTTCCACTACGTAATGTGTGTGGGTCGCAACATTCATAATTAAGCGCACTTAAAATGTATTACGGAATATATAAACTGAATCAAACTTGAATGTATGCATAAGAAAGAAATACTTTCCAACTAAGATATTATTTAAAAGAAGAATGTGAATTGTAGTAAAAGTGATGAATGTAATATTTTGTATCGTGAAATGAGAAATTCTTTCAGCTGTGCTTAACCGTGTGAGATCCATTTGTTTTAACAAAACATACTTCAGTTTATTTTATATGAATTTTTGAACTTTTGGGTTCAATCTGGCAGTGGCCTGGAGCGTAGTTTTCAAGTCGTCACACTCAGTCTGACGGGGAACGAGAGAGATAGAGAGAGAACGCACATGAAACATGAAATGGAGAGCAAATTTAACCATTTGTCAATCTCTGCTAAATATTAATCAAGAAACTGACATGTAAGGAGAATGCACAAACTTAACCATTTTGAAATGAAAATAATGACATAGTCACAGCGACGCAGCGATCATAATATAATTATGTTGTCTCTGCATTTATGTATTCAATTTACATGATTCCTGTACTTTAAGCAGTGAAACTTCAAATATACATCTTACAAAAATTTGCGTGGCCCGTAATTTATAGACATTGCTAAGGTTAGGGCCACAGTATATATTCTATATTCTGTCCTATCATAAAATGTTTCAAATAAAAGTATCAGATATTAATGAACACTGTATTTTGTCTCGTTCTTATACAAGGCGAAGTTTTTGAGAATACTGATAATGCTCAATGTGCATCGAAGCGCGGGTTTAAGGTCATCTTCAGAGCCAGCTTCCGAAAGTCACCGGTTTGATGCACCAACAAGCAACAAGCAATCATTTAATTTGGTAATGGCTTGGGCCGAAAGACCACGCAGGATCACAGCTGGGAAATTCGTGGATTTAAACCTTGGATTTTTCTTTTCTTTTTGGTATGTATAGATCAAAAACTATATAAACACATTTCAATAAAATGTGAACTGTTATTTTAAAAAAAATATTTTGAGTTTACTGGGTGTCCATTTTAAAAACGCTTTATCATAGCCTGATGACAGTGAATCATGAGGCATGGCAGAGCTTAAGAGCAAATGACACGGCCTATTTAGACATTATACTACAAACAAATGAGAAATCACAGCATTTATTAAAAGAGAGTTAGGATCGGTAGAGAATAAGCGACTGTCGTCTGTTCCGAACTATTATCCTTGCAATTTCCGTAAGGGACTGAGGAAAACTATAAAAAGAATTGGGATAACTGATTGCAGTGTTAACTGTTTCTCAGAAATGTTTGGTTTAGAAGTTCATGATCCAGTGACACTAATCAGGGGGCTGTGGGTGATAAGTGTCAATGATTGGATGCACTGGAAGAACTGGACAGTTCAGATTTGGTAGCTTCTGTATGGAATTCGAGCAAACTGAGAAGATACAAGCTGAGACACACAAGGACAATTGTCCTCAGTTACTTAAAAAATCATTATCGTATTTCACCCACATTATTGAAATCCATTTCTGCACAACAATGGGACTTATGATTGCACTAGAACAAGGTCTAACAAAGGACTACATTGTTACAACAATGGTGTTGGCTCATATTAGTGTAAGAATGTCCTTATGACACAGCAATAACCTTGGAAATCCTCAGCGCAAGGGCGACTTAAGGCAGGACAATGAACAGGAATCATATAACAGCAACAAGGGCCTATGTGACGCGGCATGAAATATTGGTTTACTTCAAGGAGAATGCCTTCTCAATCTTGTTTACTTAGCTGCCTAATGTTTGTGGTTATTACTTAAGTCAAGTGCATTTTAAAAGTAAATGTCTTTTTAAACTGTGCACTGTAGTTACACGTTGTGTTATTTTAATTAAATACACAGAAATTAAAACAGAACATGTATTGTACCGCGCATTGTAACGGCAAAGCGTACAGCATTAAGTTCTACCATAAATCTGTTTCTAAAGCAATGTTCCTCTTAACGATCTTGTGTAACTGAGACTTTCAGAGGCGTGAGATTTACTCACAAGGCTGATCATCCAAGGACGTCACTGCAGGAGCTTGGTTATTTGTTTTCTTCTGTAAATATCTCGTAATGTTGTAGCAATTGTACAGCAACCTTGCTTTACGTCGTCCGCTCCCTTTCGCTGATTTGTGTCATTAATGATTCGCCTACCTCTCGCCCCCATACAACCCTCTGACAAAATTAAAGCTACCAACCCTTATAAAAAAAAGCTACTTTTACCCCAAAGGAAACGCATATTGTTGAGATTCTTAACCTTAAAATACAATTAAGAGTCTATGAGCACTGTGACGAGACACTTGGTACTTGAACCAAGGCCCTCTTAGATCTAGCCATTAGAGGTGAAACTTGGGGAAACAAATCTGATATTATAGTGAACGCTACACTTGGCTTGAATTCGTTCCAACTGAGTTGTGATGCGAAGCACGTCCTATTATTTTGCACGCTGAGTCATGACGCGGATCTCTCTGCCCTTAAAATATCAATCAGAATTCTTATTCATCTTAGATTCTATGCAGAAATTTCCCTTCTTTTTGTCAGGCACACTGTTTTGTTGGCAATGAAAAAGCACGTGTTTCGATGAGAATTATTGTGACTATTATTATGAGGAACGAAAGTGCTTTTGTTGAGTACGAACATCGCGTGAGAAGGGAAAATTCTATGGTCCATGCTGTCAGTGTAAACAACATATTTTACTGCATGAAGCAAACCTTTTGTGAAAAGCTAGTAGTGATTCACCTAGTCAAAATCTTACGCTATTATAACGAATCCGAAAGTTCATTACCGTCTTAACAACAGCCCACCACTGGAAAATATTCTGAACCAGACGAATTCAGTACACAACCTCACATCCTATTTCACTACCATCAATCAAAAACATTATCCTTCCATCTACATCTAGGTCTCCAAAGTGTCTGTCTTCACCAAACTTTTTCTAAACTACATAGTAAAATTATGAAGCTGCTTATTTACGACGACGAAAATGCTGTGAATAAAAACAGTGCGTATGTTCCTGATGACCAAGTGTCTGATGCTTATCGCCGTGGCGCCACAGGGCAATTCCTGCATAAATTAAATTGTCAGCCAACGTAACAGCAGTGGACATACATCACTTTTGCATTACAGATGCCGTTTATGATTCCACAGCGAAGACAGAGAGAGAGATATAAATGGAGGACAATAGACTAAAGGATTCTATGTTCATATTTAAGAGTACCACACGGGGTTGTTTTTGAATTTATAAAAAAAGGAGGAAGGGGGGAAGGATCCTAGAGTCAGTGAAACTCTCTTCATATTGGACCCAAGCACAGGCCGCGCATTGACACACATAATCCCCACCATCGAAATTAAGATACGGCCGCGTTACGCAAACACTTTCACGCAGTTGCGTGAGCCGCCGCTGGGTGCGTATCCAGGGAAGAAATTCCAGAAACTGCTCACGTTTCGAATGTAAGTCGTACATACATATGACAGCTGGACGTCGTCGTCACTTGCAAATGCCGACGGGGAAAAACAACGCTCGATAAATCCAAGGCCATTTCGTGGTGTCATTAATCCCAGAAAATCCTTTGTTTCATAATTCACTATGAGATCCTCTGAATGATGCCATGAATGAATTATCTCTTTACTGAATCATCCACAGCGGAAATTCCAAGATTTTATGCGGCAAACAAAAACTAACTTCTGACTCGAACTTTGAAGGGAACTAAAAATGAAAACTTTTAAAGACCGTTTCGTACACCGCAAATTCATGACTAAACTGTAAGGGGTATTTGTGACATCTGACACCCCTAAAGGTCTCGTGAGAAACGAAAGGCAAAGATCAATGTATCTAAGACAACCGCGTCTGTCAGATTGAAGATCTTCCCGAGAGTAATAAACCGCCCCCATACAATGACGCCGTTGAACAAGAAATTACTCCTGTAATTTTTGAAATATGAACGAGGAACTTCAGTTATACACAGGTTTATTCTCGCTGCTGAACATTCCATTGGCAATCGCGGACAGAACTAAGAAAGAGGGAGCACGGCTTCCTAAAACGAGTGACTTTCATCAAGATTTCTCCCCAGTCTACGCCATCAACGGGCGTGACGATCGAGATCAGCGGACTCGAAAACGAAGCTATTTTACTTTAACAGTGAAAGTCAGTGTTGTTAACAGCTCGAAATTGCAGGTCGTGGATGTCCCCCCTCCACAAAAAATGTAAATCCTGAAGATGAAGGCAGGATGTACTCCGAAAAACTACGTCTCGCGATTATGATCTCAATGACATTACTTCATCGAGTCAGTTCAACACAACTTCCATGTTCCTCCTTGTACGGAGGCAGATATAACTTCTCTTGCAATGAAAGATCTAAAATATTTGCACGTGACAAAACTTCTATTTGTATTTGCGAATTTAGCGCCGGGTCAATTCAGGCCTTGACCCCCCCCCCCCACAAGATTATCTCACGTTGCACAACTGAAGATCGCCACACCACTGTGTGTGTTCGTGTACACAAAAATTACAGAATCTGCTGGACCCAATGAAATTAGCGTCAAACCTGTTCGCCTTGGCCCTATTTTGCAGCCTCCACTACGAAATCAACGCTAACTGTTTGGACTAATCTTAGCAACCTTGTCCAGCTTTCCAGCTAGCACAGCAGACGACAGAGATCCACCTCCCAGTGTCGCTCACAAAACAATAACAGACTCTCACAGCGATTAAATATTTTTGTCATTAATCCAGAAAACACAACTTTGTGAGTTAGTCCACTGTTGCTTTCATGTCTTCAAATTCACGACGGTTTTTGGTCAACCTTAGGTGGGCCTGGGGATAAATTTGAGGGCCATGAGAGGACGGAAGAAATCGCAAGAAGACTTTCTTCTGGACCAAATCCGTCGCTTTAGGTGATAATAATCTACTGTAATGGGTCCTCTAGAAGGGCCAACCTCTGATTTTTATCACCTGAAGATCGTTCGATCCCCGGCAGGGGCAGAGGATTTTGTCCTCTATCCTCTGAGTCCAGACCGGCTCTGGGGCCCACCGCGCCCCCCCAGCCTCCTATCCAACGGGTACCGGGGTCCTTTCCCCCGGGGCGTGACGCTGACCACTCACCTCCATCTGGTGCCGACGTTAAGAATGAGTAAGTGCTGTACTCCCCTTCCCCCAAGCGCCTACATGGCGTATAGTGGGACAGAAAAAATTTGGGGCAGAGCCAGCCCTTTAAACGTCGTGACTTAATTTTCATATACAGAATTAATCCAGAAGAAAATCAGCATTGAATGTAAATGACCATCGTTAAAAACTTTTAAATTTAAATTTCGATATTTGTATTCGTCACCAAATATTTGAGTGGTTAAAGCACGGAGAACACGTACAAAAAATTACGTAGACCGGATAACTTGAAGGAAAGGCCATTTGAGAGACCTCTGCATAGGGGCGATAATATTAAAGTAGATCTTAAAATAATTAAGATAAATGTGTGTGAAGTGGATCCACCTGGTTCAGGAAAAATCCAATATGGACTCTTGTGAACGCGGTAATGAGCCCTTCTGTTTCATTAAAGACGGACAATTTACTGACTAGATGAGCGACTACCAGCGTATCAAGAAGAAATATGGTGTGAGGAACATAAAAAGGAAGGGGTCGGGCTTCGTGGTCAGGTGCGGTCACTCGGCTTCTGGGGGGGGGGG